GAGGATTGGGGGCGTTCGTTTGCGTGACCGAGTGCGTTGGGAGTGGCCGCGGGGTGTTTTGGAGAGCGGGGCGGTGGGGGCGAGGTGCCTTCCTTGTCCCCGCGTGTGAATAGGTGTCAGCAATGTTTGCTTCCCTCAGGGGCGGCTTCCCGCCCCCTGCGCGGTGTAACCCCCCGGACAGGTGTTCTGCTCTCCCGGAGTGTTCACCGTGGAGGTTGCCTGCATCAGTACGAGTCGTTCGACACTCCGGGCTGGTGAGCTTGTGCGCTGCAGGCGCTGAAGCACAGCAAACCCCCCAAAGCCCACGGTCTTACAGAAAAAGTTGTACTGCGTTTATTAATGTGTCTGTTAAACAAGTTTAATTTCACATTGACGTGAAAGCTGTAAGCGAATGCCGAATAACAGTCTGCTCTGTCTGACACTGCTTAGCCCCGTAATGCGTTTATGAGTATGTGGATGTGTAGTGCTTTACAGGTATTATTAGGTTTCGGCGATACTGAACACAGTGCTACTGATTCTGTGTGATGCATTGTGGGGAGGGCTGTTTCTTCACCATTCCTTTTCCCCCCCTCAGTTTTGCTTATCTGTGAAGGAAGGGTTCTTTTACCTTGGAGGTAGGAAGCGTGTTTCAGGGAGAACAACCCGTAACATGACACTCAACTAAGTATGACTTCATTGCCACAAGAATTTATTCAGATTCTTAAATTTTTTGTGAACTGTGATTATATTTTCGTGGGGTCAGCTGAAAATACTCTTGTGTCTTCCAGGAGAAGAGCCTTTGGAAGGCTGCCGGGTTTGTTTGTATGTTTGTTTCTCCTGGAAGTGAGCTTTACTGTTGTTTACTTCCACTGAGGCTCATGTTTCTTTGAAACAAACATCAGTGTATGTGTTGCAGATTACTTTCTTTGGTGCCTATCTATTTGTTTTGTCAGTTCTCACTGATTTTCTGTGTAGTACGGTGCTACTGGCGCACTTGAAGATGTTTTTTTTAATCTCCAAAAGTGGCAATAGCCACGTTACAGATATAACAACTTAAATGTTTCTGCTGAACTGAAGACACGTCTGCACAGAGCTTTAGTTCTTTAAAAAGTTTCCTGTTCATAAAACCTGGGATAATACCACTTCCTCAATATTACTTAGTTGCTACTCAGTTTCTCTATGAAATCAAAGCAAATGTGGGTTGGGTAATACATTGATTACATTTTAAACGGAAACTGTTGTGTTGCAGGTAGAGGAAAACAACCCTCTGCAGTTCCTGTATTCGCAGCAGCTAAGGAGCTTGGTTAGTTAGTCAGGGCAGCATTTTGCATGCATACAGTGTAAAAGTTGCAACTGATTTGTTTTTTTTTATCATCTCCTTAAACTGAGAAGCTATATATCCTGCAGTTTGAAAGAACTAATCTGCCTCAGAAAAGTTAAAAGCCAGTAGCGATTAGGGTAGTAAGCTGGTTGCTAAATAGTTTTTTAGCATGACATTTGATTTTTTAACCTAACAGAGGTGTGCCTCTTTTGCTAAAAGTCTGTTTGTCACTAGCTTTCTTTTTTCCCTTCTGACCTTGAAAATGTGGGAAGACAAGTAAAGAGTCACTTGCCCATCTATTTAAAATGGAATTAGAAGTATTCTTTCCACTTTTTGTTTTAGTCTCACCGTGTCATGTTTCTGAGCAGGAGCTGAACTTGCTTTGTGCATGGAGTGTGACATGTCAGGTCCTTTCTAGATTAGGTGCATAGGACAGAGACAAATAGAAACAAAGAAGAGGCTTTTGCAGTTGTGTGTCTCGGGACTTATTTTTTTAAAATACCTTACTTTTTTCCCATCTTTGTGTCAGTAATTTGATGTTTTTCTTTCAATATATCTCTTCCAGTATTTTTGATATGAAATGACTAACACAGCTGCTGTGTTTTCAAGCCATATCTTCTTTGAAAGAATTCACTATTTGTCCTGTTGCACAGTGCAATAAGCTGCACAAGCTCTGCGTAATGCTCTGTGTTTAGATGTGTTTTCTTTTTGTCATGCTGATCAAAGCTTTTGGGTTTTGTGGCTTTTTAAGTATAACACCAAAAATGTCTCATGAAAGCTTGAGGTAAACATGGGCTAGTAGTAATTTCAGATACCCTGGTAATACATTTGGTGTGTTCCTGGCCCAAGACTCTGTCAGATACAGCTGAAACAATCTTTGCATAAAAGTGAACAAGCAATAATTTACAGGAAAATTGTTTTCTTCATATGGCACAGTTAAATGGGCAGCTTGGTAAAGTGGTGAACTTCATGAAGTGTGATGTTGTTAGATTAATTGGTGTTATGCTATAGGCTGTCCATGAAACATTAATGTTCTGTAATGTTAAAAGCTTGTGAGCTAGATTTTGGAGGGTAGGGAAGCAGGAGTGGACGTTCTTTGTGTTGCTGTATCATGGTCATGCAACAGTCTAAAATGTTTAAAAAATTCAAAGGAAATGTTTTTTTTTTTTTAAATGATTGTGCAATGTTGTCTGACATTTAATTCTTCTACAGATTAACACTAAAGCCCCACAATGTCCTTGAAACCACGAGTAGTTGACTTTGATGAAACATGGAACAAACTTCTAACAACAATTAAAGCTGTTGTTATGTTGGATTATGTTGAAAGAGCAACGTGGAATGATCGCTTCTCGTATCCTTTAAGTGAAAATCTGACTTGATGTGTTTGTCTGTATTCAGCACGGAGTGGCCCTGTGTTACGTAACAGTTTCAGTGGTCTTGATCGGAAGCCCGTGGTAATTTCCTCTGTTCTGATGATGAGTTTTTCTTGTATGCTTAAGTATCTGTTTAGCGGGGTGAACACCCAAGATGGAGAAGCTCATCTTTAAATTTGGGGGTTTGTGGCGTGGTGAGGTGGTTCTGTTTAGAGATGTCTCCCTCTTTGCACTTGTAAGCGTACTGACACTGACTACTATAATAGACATTACTGTAGCAAGGGTTTACAAAAAATCCTTCTTCCTGTCCCTCCACTGTTACTCCCTCTCTGTTCCTGACAGTTAAGCTATGTTTAAAAATAATTACTCTTTCTAGTTGTGATCGTATTTTCTTACTGTTCAAGTCACAGCTGTACATCTGTTGTTGTAGTGAAAAGTTTGCATGTTGCGTGTAAAATGGGCTTCTAATTTTTGACAAGATTGAAGTTTCAGTGAACTTCTTTTAAAAGAAATGTAACTATTCTAACCAGTTACACCGTGCCCTGTGTCTATGCATTCGTTAGCCATTACAGTGTGGTGAATAATTAGAGAATTTTAGGAGGCTTTGCAGCTGTTCTGCAGCAATTTGACTGAGTTTGGCTCAATTAGAGGGGACAGAATGGTTTAGACTTATTTATTGATTTGTTAATTCTTCTGGGTAGAAAAAAGAAGCTCCTGAGAAGATTCTTAACACGTGGATTTTTACAACATAAACTTATTCTGTGTGCAGGAGTTAGACTCTAAAGTCTCTTTTCTTGCTGAATATGTTACTGTTTCTCAGAATTGCTTTCCCATGTGCCTGTCTTTTGAGTGTGTGCGTGTGTATCAATACATAAGAAAAATTTAGTTGCTCATAGTCCTTGTAGAGCCTTGTTCTATGGTGCAAAAATCTTGAAGGAGCTCTTTAATTTTAAAACTTTTTAATTAATTTTGGGGGGCATGACTCTTCACCTTGTCTTGGAGTCAAGTTCAGATGACTACGGAATTTACAGACTTTTTGAATTAATTAGTTGTGCACTTATGTGTTGCCAAATTGCGCTGTAGTCATTCTAAGCAGTTTGTAAGAACTGCATGTTTCAGTCTTCAACAAGTAGTTAAGTTCCGTAGCTTTACACTCTACATTTAAACAAGGGCACCTAAAATAGATCTAAATCTAAAATAATAGTTGAATGAGATGTTGGATTGATTCCTCTTGTCACACTGCTTCACTTAGAACTACTTATGTGGAGGTCTTGTACACAAGCCTGCTGTTGATCCTCTTTCGGGATTTACTCCAGTTGATTTAACATCAGAAAGGGAGCGCTTATGAATAGCAGACTCAGGAAGCAGTCTTGGAAGAATCATTTGGCATGTAATTCTTAAGACCTTACTTACTATCATCTCTTAATTGTGCTCCTTGGGAAGTGGCACTATTAGTGCCTAATTTGGCGCAGGCCAGAGCCTTTTGGCTTATTCTTTGTGGCTGAAGGACTTGAGGAGCTTGTGTGACTTGTAATTTCCAGCTTAAATGTTGATTGTTTAGTACTTCTGCTACCTTTAACCAAGCCGTATGTTTTAACACAAGCTGGTCATGGAGCATTCAGCAACTTGGTGAAACTGGTAGTTCTATACCACTGGTGTGAAAGATTTCTCCAGGTTTTAAATATATAAAGAAAACTGAAGTATTGATGGTGTATTTTGGGAGCAACTGACATCTAAACAATACGTCTTCTTGTTCTTTGTTAGCTTCTTATTCTCTGTTAAATTCCATTTAAATGAAGTAATGTGTTTCTGAACATCTACAGGGAGTTTAAAGGAAATATCATATTAACTATTTTTCTTGCTGCTTAATAAATACAATGAAAAGGTGACAAATTATTTGAACGATGTCTTAATGATACTCATGCAGGCTGTTTCATTGATTGTAGTACCACTTGGTCTTTGTACTTTCTCTATAGTCAAAACAATGGTGTGGAAACAAAGGAGAAGATACAGCAAAGAATCATGATTTCAGTCTGCAGCAGTGTGTTCTAAGAAGTGTTTGCTTTCTCTTGTGCTGCTTGAGACAGCTGAGATCAAATGGTGTATGCAGACTAATAGTGTTTTAGGGGTGAGAGGCTTGTACTGTGCATTTTCCACTCCTAGAGCTAATTTGTGCCTCGCTACTTCCACAGAACTTGTTTGTCTTGAATATAATGTTTTCTTTGTAACTCTGATGGTAATTTTATTGTTAAATATAGCTTATCTCAAACTTGAAATGCTAGAATGACAATGAGCTGGGAAGAGTTAAAATCTGGAAAAGATCACTTGAAAGACCGTATGTCACTTTATTTAGACCGTGAATCATCTTGAGCCACCTTTGATCTTTGGATTTCCTTTCAGGTTCTCTGCAGAAAGAAACATTTCTGGAGTCATTTCATTGTGTGGTGAATGAGTGACAGTTATGTCGTTCTGTATGAGATATTATTTACAATAATTTGGTTATTATGAATGCTTTGTATAACTTTTAAGACTTTGCTTCTAACTGTTCAGTAGGCTAGGGAGTGCTCTTTAAGAGGCTGATCAAGCTTGATTAGAGAGAGGTGGTTCATCTGTACTTTGATAACTACCTTTGAGCAGTAGAACTATTTTGAACAGGTAGAACATCAGGATCTTCCTGGTTTTGTCTTGGATTTTCCACCAACCGAGTAAAGAGGATGAAGAGTACCCAGGGAGGAAGGCAGCCATACTACAAACAGAATGATTTTAAAAGTATGCAACATGACCACCTGCTTTTTTCCATTTTTCTGCATGTTTGTTCTCCCTCCTCTAATCCCTCATTTTACAAGGAACCTATGATGAACAAGAAACTTATACACATGTATCTTTAACATAAGAACCAACCCAAAGAGCAGGAAGAATAAATAAAGTTCGTATGGTCATGATTCTTTCTGACTGCGAGTCCTCAAGTGCTCTCTGAATTCTGATTCTGTTACAGAGCAAGACCAAAAATCACAGAAATTTTCTAAAAGCAATACTTTGGTCTTCTAGAGAAGATCCAGTCACAACTTTCTGCGAATGTATGGTCTTAACTAGATGCTTTTTTAATGCTGAGGGCAATATTTGTGAGCTTTCATGGCCTTGGATACCATATTTTTTTTTGTTGATGGTAATTCCCTCCCCCCCTTATGATTTGGAATCACTTCAATTTCACATTGCTGGGTAATGCCCCGCAAATAGCTACTGCTGGAGCACTTTAATTGCACAAGGCTTCTGATGTTTTTGTTCTCAGCACAGAGTGAAGGCCTCTAAGCAGCAGTTTGGCTTCAGCTTCCTTTGACCTTTCTCACCCTGTGATACTACGTGCTGAACTGGAGGGACAGATGGCTTTCACCATTAAAGAAAAATGACTGAACAGTAAAGACTTCTTCATAATCTTCTAAGGGACAGCACCATAGAAAAAATGTGCTTGAAGTTTATGGAGGAAGATACTGGAGATGCTTAATGACTCGACTCATCTCCCTTCAAAGATTTTTTTCTTTTTTTTTTGGTTGAGAGATTCACAGCATTTTGAACGCTACTCTGAAATTTGGATTCTGGACTGAAAGATACGGTTAGATGAATAAACTAATACAAATAGAGCAAGAATGTAAACTTGCTGTAGCCAGGCTACTCTAATGTAGTTTTGCCACTCATGGTGGCTCTCTTTTGTAGAAATCCAGAGAAACTTAGTATTCAGCAACTAGAATTTGGTGTTGATTTTTCTCATTTGCGTGATACAGGAAAAGTAAGGTGCCTGTGGAAGTGCTTTGGTGATTTAGCTGTTACTTTAATTTCGGCAGGTATGCAAACTAAGCATCGTATGTCAAGGAAGAATACTAGATTCAGCTTTCTTCATTTGCAGGAAAATTTGACTGTTCTTTAGAATAAGGAAAGGCGTATTTGGAAGATGTGCATTTTCATGAAGGAGTACAGATTTGTTCTTAAATAGGTTTATTACAACTAAGAATTTGTTTACAACAGCCAGGTCATCTGGACTCCTAACTGAAGCGTAGGGCACAGGGGCTAGATAAATTTGGAGATATTTGCTGCTTTTGTCAGATAAGCTGCTATTGTTATTTTCTTGTGCTGTAGTGGTGAAGACTGCCTGTTGCCTCTGACTTCGAAGTAAGTAGTTCCTCTAGCAGAGATCTGTAACGGTTTTGGTGAGTTGGATAGTGTAATTGTGAATCTAAAGAGAAAAGTCATGTCCCCTTTAGCTTACAAAGATTTCTAATTCTGGAATCTATTTTCTCAGAAATACCTTATTTGCATAGTGAAGAGGCTTGCGATCTGAATGATACTGAGGGTGTGTTCAGCTATGGACCATACTTAGACTGACAAAATTTGTTTGGGGCGGAGGGGAATGTGTGTAAAAACAAACAAACAAACAAAAAACCCACCCAACCAAAATCAAATCAAATTGTTCTTTACAATCTGTTTAAGAAAACCTTTCTTTCTTCACTACTATTTTAATAGTTTGTGATGTTTTATTAGTCATAACTTTGTAAGTTAGTGTAATGTAATGCTAGCTGCTGTTACAAAGCAGTGAATATTGCCTGTTTTGTTTGTTGAGGCTTCCATTTAATGCTTCTTAGAATTCCAAGGAGAATTCTGATAAAGGTGATTTATGTGAATGATGTAGTCATGCTTGAGTTTGGACTCTGATTAGGCTCTCCAAGATTCCAGTTGCCAAATAAAGACTTTTCTCATCTAGTTGTCCTAAATCAGTCCCTTTTCTGTTTTGAGTAGTACTTCTGTATAAAAAATGAAACATGCTTTTGGGAAAACTGTGCGATGAAAGCTTGATGCTGCTCTGTAGACTAAGCAGGTGACTTGTCAACTGTCCTTGTATCTTCTACCTCCTTTTACACAGACGTGCTTTTTTAGGGTAGACTAGAGGCAAGCAGATCTTGTATCTTCTGTTAATGAAAGGGTTTACCTTAAAAAGTAGTCTATATTAAATCATTATTTCTAGCATGGCTGGTTTTATCAAGTGCCTGGAGTAAGTGGATAAGCATGATGTTTTTAAAGAATTTTTTAAGAACTAGCTTATTTCCCACAGTTGTCCAGCTGAAGCTGGACTTAATCCTTACTTGACTTTTCTGAAAGTAAAGTTCTTAATCATAATTTCTTTTCCTGACAAAGTGTGAAGTGACTTTTTCAAAACTTGGTATAAACCTTACAAACCAAAGGTGTAGCTCTGCAAGATGCTTCAGGGACAAAACTACCTTAAGGGCTTTAACTCTTTGCTTCTGCCCACTGAAGTGAGCAAGTATAACTGTTTTGTGTTGGCTGTGATCTTAACAGAATTACTGAAATTATATAATGGTTAAAAATAAAGATTTTGTGTCCATGCCACCATTGTGATGACTTAATTTCCAGTGTCCCACAAAATTGTTTTACCTGTGGAGTTGGGGGGAATGTGCAGGGACAGTAAATTGTTTTGGACTTGGAGGAAAACTTGAAGTCGGCTTCACTTTGTGTTTGCTCTGCTCCATACTTGGCTAATCACATTCTTAACCTAATTAGTGCTTCTTTCCATTATCTGAAAAGAGTCTCAGTTTCACTTTGGCTGCAGATACAGAGGAAGAATTTTGGATGAAAGCTGCTTTTTCACTTTGAGATAATCATATAGCATTCATAAATGGCAAAAAAGTGGTAGAAGCCGTGTCAGTCTGGGGCTATCAGAAGTTCCAGCATCTTAGCTTTACATTCCCTCACCTTCCACTACTTAAAATTTGTTACTGATGCTGAAAACTTAGATTATTCACAGGTCAGTTCTCACACTAATTTCAGAAAATAATCAATTTTATCTTTTGTGCTTGACTGAAAAAAAAAAATAAAAAATGGGGGATGGGGGGGGGGAAGGTTCTGTAAATCTTAAAATTTGTTGATAAGTTTTCACACTTCAAGCAGATACAAACCTTGACTCTGAGCCCAGAGACATTTATGCTTTGTGTGTGGCCTATCCTGAACCTCTTGGAGAGAGACTTTATACTGAGACTAAAATTTTTTTGGAAAATCACGTACGCCATTTGCACAAGGTAACCTATACAGTGACTGATGTACATGTAGGTATTGTTTGTCCTTTTGTGACTTTAGAGAGTGATTTTGTTTGTTTTGTATGTAGGTAAGTATGCAGCTTTTATGAGACTAAATCACATATGACAGAGTTCTAGAGACAAAATAGATATATCTCTTTGATATATGCAACACACATATTGCACAACACAATGTAGACATATATATAGATATTTGTCTATATGCAACTCAAAACAAAGAACTTTCTTTTTAAGCCACCAGTTGTGGTTTATATAAAATATTCGTTGGCTTGAAAAGTAAGTTCTTTCTCTTCTGTTGAATACTTATAATCGAACAAGTTACAGAAATGTCTTCATTTTCCAAATGTGCTGTAGTTTGTCATTAGCCTTCTGTTACAATGTATGTACTCTAGCGTCTTGGAAACTGATTGTATATACTTTACTAAAGAAAACTGCTGAAATATGTGGGAAATAAGAGAAATGCTTGGGAGGTGAGGAAGCAATGACAAATTATTTATTATGACAAATAACAATACTTGTATACCTGTATAGCTGTGAATTAACTTCTGTTTCATCAGCTAAGACAGCTAATTTCAACAGAATAATGATTCCTCATGTTGAATATATATAGTGGATGAATGATGTCTCCTTATATTTCGGTAAAAAGATAACCAGATTTAAGAAAGATGTCCGCCTGTCTTTGCTGTCTGTGTAGCGAATGCAGAATTGCAAATTGTGGATAGCACTGCTAAACAGCTTGATGGTATTTTTTTGAGCTTAGGTACCTGTGTATTTGACAGAATAGGCTGAGTATCTTAATGGGTAGTTCCACTGGTTGCAGAGAGGATACCTCTGACACTTTGATAGACTAAATCAGTTCACTGAACTGGCAGACAACTCGGCCATTAAAGTTCTTGCTCCTTTATTTAGTGAGCTGAATGAGCTCACTTAGGATAATCAGGCAGGTGCCAGCACAGTAGAATCTGTGGGAAGTAGCGGAAAGCATGCATCCATTTTTTAAATTGGCTATCCGCCATTTTTCTTTGAAATAATGTCAGGGGTTGAGCTAGATGACCTTTAAAGGTCCCTTCCAACCCTAAGCATTCTATGATTCTATGACAGCCTTCATACTGCAGAGGAAAGCACTCTCGACTCTGTTTCATCTACTACCTTTCCTCTTTTATGTTATTTTTGCATAGGCTTCTTTGCTGCTTGAGCCAGAGTTTAAACGTATTCTAGGGAGAATTAGACTTGGATTCATAGCATCTCATCCTTCTTCACAAATCATGCTGATTTATTTAAATTGTTGAACTTACTCCTTTGAAGTATGAATATATTTTGAGAAGTTCAGTACATAAGCAACTTCTTGGATGATAATTCTCTTAATTTCTGAAAGATTTGGGCCTAGATTTACAGAACTTCAGATGTGTTTAAGTTAGCACATATCTGCACTGTGTTAAACTAGTTCTGTTCCAGGATTCTTGGTAAGTATAAGGGCTTGTCTAACTGTAACCACTTAAAATCAGTATGCCTTACTGGTTAGCCAACTCCTCTGGTGTACATGTGGCTGCGTGAATTTAAGATTGATCTGTGTCAGAGAGGGAATAGTTACGCGAGTTATCCCACTGGCACGATGTGAGAATATGAACCATGCTTGTTCAAGCAAGTACTTCTGTAAAGACAGAAAATAATATGTTATAGAGATTGTTCTTTCTAAATGCAAAATAAAACAACTTCCGGTGTTGTGGCTGGTTTACCAAAACTTCATGGTATGAAGATTTGTTAGTTTTCTGGTCGTTGCAACAATGTTATTTTTAGACTGGTTAAAGCTTAGGTGTAGTCTTAATTTTGAATCTCTGATTGTTACTCCAAAATTATAATCCTGTTATAACTTTGTATGTATGCTATTTTCATACTAATTTTAGCGAGGTGTGTGTGTCTTCCTTCACAGAGAGTTCTGGAAGCTGAAGAACAAGTACTTGTTATGTATCACAGATACTGGGAAGAGTATAGCAAAGGGGCAGACTACATGGACTGTTTATACAGGTAAGCTTTGCAAATGTGTTGTTAAACTTTGACGTTATTACAGTGATCTGCAGCTTAAGTTGAATAATGTTGCTTAAAGAGAGCAATAGCTGAATATGCCCCAGGTCAGTATCGGAGAGAATATCATTATAGTAGCAGAACATGAGAAAAAAGGAATAATGCTCCAACGGGCTTTTCTGTGCACTGCAACTCACCACTACAGTAATTATCTGAGATGATTCCTACTATTCTTTCATTACTAATATATTCTACCTCTGTTTCTGATATTGCGGTGCCAAATATGTTGATGCTAATCAACCCTGCAGTGAAGTAGCTCATAATCCTAGGTGTTCTGCTGCAAGGATGGCATTGTACTGAAGTGTCCAGTTGAACCAGCATAGTTTGTTTCAAAGCTTAGCCATGTACCTTGGCAAAAACACAGCTGTCCTGTCAAGGAGAGCCTTTCAGACAAGGTTGGGTGTTCTTTGGGTTCGTTCTTTTCAGGTGAATGTTTCAACTGCAGGGACTGGAGAGGGAGTGAAAATTTCTCCTTGTTTCTTTTCTGAAAACTTCAGAAACTAATAGGCTGTATAGAGGCAATCAATTTTACTTTTTTTTTTTTTCAATAGATTACAGCCAAGTCTACAAATAAAAACACAACTAACCCCTGGGTTTTTTGTACTTCTACTGTTTCCTGAATTGCAAGTGTGTTTTGTTGCTACTAGTGATAGCCTAAGCATGTGAAACTCACCTATTCATGAGCTGCTAGAATTATAACTGTACTGAGATGCTTTGGATTTACTAGGATTTTGATTTTAATTCCACCCTGACTCTAGGCTGAACATTCTAGTGTCCATTATGCATGTCATACCCAGCAGGTAAATACAACTTATGAGGCACTGTTAATATTGTACTTACTTGATGGTATGATGTGAGGATTTACAAAGGTTTTCAAGACCTTTACTACTACATTAGGAGATGTATGTGTGATCTTGTAGAACCTAATAAATTATTGCTAGCAGACTGGGAATAAATTTGATGGAGTCCATCTTGAGCTTGCAGACTTCAGTTCCGTAATGTGTCACCATCTTAACTGGAGAGTTGATACAGGAGGAAAAAAATCCCAACAATTTACGGTCTGGGGAGGTCCCCACTGACTGGAGAAGGGGCAACATCACCTCCATTTTTGTAAAGGGAAAAAAGAAAGACCCGGGGAACTACAGGCCGGTCACTCACCTCTGTGCCTGGCAAGATGATGGGCACCACAGACACGTCAATGTCCGGTCCACGGACCCAACTGATCTAGAACTGAACCCTGGTCCACATTCCCTTCCCGCAAAAACCTGAGAGAACACCCAAGGGCTGGTGGAGGGTAGCACAAAGTCCCATACGGACTACTCCGCTGGCACTGGGACAGCACACCTGGCTAACGATAGCTAACGAAGGCATGCTTGTCTGCACTCATCCGCTAATTCTTCTGCTATCACTACAAACAAGCCTGAGAACAGACGTTCATTTATTTCCTTTGCCTTCCCCTTCTCTTTCAGAATTACTCCCACTCACTCTGTCAGGCATCTAACTGAAATACGTTTATAGAAAAAGCCCCAACTTGAAGTTATCATGACAAAGGTACCACAAGCACTGTAACAGCCAAATGGCAAATGCCAGCATATTCCACCAATATGCCCCAAACTGCTAATTTGCCAGCCTGCAAATGCCAAGCAAATGTACTGCGTAGCTTACAGTCAACATCTTCCAAAGCTTCCGTCAGGAAAACCACAGTGCTGTAAGAAATCTGGTATACTCCAGCACAAAGCCTAGTGGAATTTCTCAATGAATGTGTAACCGTATCTTTTTACGGTATGTTTATTATTGTATGTTTATTATTACATACAGCAGAACTATAGTTAATTAACTTACACACACAAAGAATAACAGAATCATAGCTTGGTTTGGGAGAAGAGAAGGCTCTGGGGTGACCTTATAGCAGCCTTCCAGTACCTGAAGGGGGCCTACAGGAAGGCTGGAGAGGGACTTTTCCCAAGGATGTGTAGTGATAGGACAAGGGGGAATGGCTGTAAACTAAAAGAGGGCAGATTTACATTAGATATTAGGGAGAATTTCTTCACCATGAGGGTGGTGAAACACTGGCACAGGTTGCCCAGAGAAGCTGTGACTACCCCCTCCCTGGCAGTGTTCAAGGCCAGGCTGGATGGAGCTCTGAGCGACCTGGTGTAGTACTTGGAAATGTCCCTGCTCATGGCAGGGGGTGGAACCAGATGATCTTTAAGGTCCCTTCCAACCCTTACCATTCTATGACTCTATGATTTAATGTCTACGAAGTTCACTGATTCTGCTTTGTGTGACCCTTTTTCTGAGTGCTTGAGTGCTTCTGGTCCTAAACTAACAAATTAAAATATTTCCCAGCAGTGTGAATCTAATTTTTTGGTGTTATTTTTAAGCAAGCTAGGGCATTTTTTTTGCAGACAGTTGTTATGCAAACAAACCAACCTGTACACATATATAAGCTCCACAGAGTGGTATTCATATATCGGTGAAGCCAAGTTCTTAAACTCCGAAGTTATTCATTTCATGCCAGTTCTGCCCATTCTAACTCTTCTTCCTGCGTTGCATATGGCGTTTTCATCCAGAAAATTTACTTGTTAGGTGTTCTGTTGGAAATAATTTTACCTCAAAGTTATACCTACTTTCTTCGTGTTAGTATCTGACAAAACTCAGAATTCCATCTTTTAAAAGTCTCTAAAGGTTATGACTTCAAGAATAAAACGTACATTGGAATGGAAACTAACAGACTCTCTCGCATGAAGGTGAGAAATAATTCAGTGCTTGAGTAGTAGAATTGTAATGACCTCCATGCATTGGAAACATTCCATTATATGCTATGTCACTCTTTTTGGTTTTTGAGAGAATATTTTAGGTGAAAGTACTTCTGAAGACCACAAGAAGATATTCTGGTTTTTATAAAGCAGTTGGAATTCTTTTCTTACTTGCATGCCTGCTCTCAAAAAAGTACCATAAATTAGTCAAAAGTTTTCTTTCTTTGTTGTTGGTTTTGGTTTGGGTTTTTTTTACCCAACCCTCTTGGTGAGTTTTGCTAGGAAAACAAATTTGATTTCAGTTTGAAAACAAAAATCTCATACATGCTTAACTAAAGCAAGGTAATAGAACTGATGGAGTAAGGAACACCTGATGCTGAATAAACTTCTTCAGTAGTTGTTTTTGTTATTTGTGATGATAAACATAATAGATAAAACCAATGCTGGATATTGGGGCTTCTCAGTGTCTTGGTGCTTTAACTGCTTTCATGGGTAATCGTACTTGTAAAAAATCTGTTTGGTGTAGTTTTATTTCAAGTAACTGGAGGGTTTTCTTATCCAGCAAATTGAAATTAATTTAAATTGTTCATTTTTTTTTTTAAATGGCTGAAGTTTTAAAATCAGCACATAATGAAATCCTGAAAAATAAATGCATATAGCACAGCTTTGGCTTTATTCCATTTTGTCTTTTTTTAAAATACTTGTGGTAATACCAGCACATTAATGTATAGTAATTTTTATTTCTGTATCCTAATCTTAGTTGTTCTTTGCTTTGTACTTTTATGTGAGACATCTTCATTCCCTTTCAGCATTAAACTTCAGCCAGTTTTGTCATGAGAGATGCAATTTATATTCTGATTCTGAACATATCGTCACAGTAACCTGTAACACAATTCAAATTGATATTAGTTCCACTCCCTTTCTCGTTTTTAAGTGTGAAGAAGCTGCTGCTTTTAATCTTGCTTACTAATTATGTAACTTAATAAATGTGGGAAAGATTTAAAAAAAAACAAGAAGTCTCATCAACATTTGAAACTTCATGGGTATTTTTCTGCTGAAATTTCTCTACTGCAGGAACTGCCTTCCTTTTAGGCTATGGTGATTGCATTTGGTAGCCCTGGAAAGTTTACTTCCACATCACACACTTATTGTTGGTCTCATCATTTTCATAAGGCTGTCAGATTCATAAAATTTTAGTATCTGCAGTGCTTTGACATAATGAAAAGGCTTTGATTTATTAGCTAATCCTCAAATTGTGGTAGATGACTTTAACCCTCATTTACAGATCTGTAAACCAGTGAATACTTCATCTATGCTTAAGAGTGAATCAGACCAGGTAGTGGGTTATAAAAATTTCCAATACTGAGCACTTGTATGTGTACAGTACGAGACATGTTAAAGCGTTCTGCTTGTATGAAGCACAGTGGCTCTGCTGCTTTTAGTATTGCTCCTGTGAAGTCTCCATTGCATGTTTGCATTGAAACACTTAAAAAGAAAAAAAAAAAGTAGATGAAGTAGATGTGAACAAACCTCTGAAGGTCATCCATTTCAACCTTATGCTCAGAGTAGGGCTAGCTTCAAAGTTAAACCAGGTTGCTAGAGGTTTTGTTGAGTCAAGGACAGAGATTTTGCCACCTTCGTGAGCAGCCTGTTTTAGTGCTTGATTACTCTTGTTCTAAAACAATTTCCTATATGTCTGTCTGGAATCTGTCATGCTACAACTTGTGTCCATTGCTTCTTGTCTTTTCTCTGTGCTCCTCTGAGAAGACTATCTTCACCTTATGTATGTATCACGCTCTGCACCCTAACTATTTCAGTGAACTCTGGACTGTCTTCCATTTGTTCAGATCTGTTGTATTTGCATACTCAAAACTGGTCGTAATATTCCAGGTATGCACTCCCAAGTGCAGAGGGAACAATCACCTCCCTCAGCTTGCCAGTACACTCTTGCTAATACAGCCAAGGAGGTGGTCGATTCACTGTCAGCTCCGCAAGACAAACTGCTTACTTAGTATCCACCCATGAGGAACACGTTCATAACTGGTCCCTGGATGGATTTAGCACTGCTGACCATACAGATGCACAGGGAAATTATTGAAAACACTAATACAGCTGCTAATTCCTATTATACAGTAATGTAGCCATTTATAACTCTATCATGTGGTTGGATATGCATTCTGTAGCTCGCAAAGCAATTTAATTATGCAAGTGGTAGGTTAGTCCCAACTAATTAGTTAGATTTTTTGAATTGCCTCCTATACATCAGAACAGTGAATGATAGTGCCATATAGGATCTTCATCCATATCTCTGTCCATGAGTACTTGCAGTGGCTGGCGAAAATTGTTAGCAGGGTACTCTCAGTGCAAATTTCTGAAAGGAGATAGAGGGGGGGGAGGGGGGGGGGAAGAGTGGTTACTCAAAAGTTTCTTCCTTACCTTTGGAGAGCTTTCAGAGAAGGAAAAAATCTGAACAGAGGACATCTACCCTTTTTTTTTCTTGAAAAAGTATGGTACTTCTAGAAATACATATAATCACGTGTGTTGTTGTGTGTCATAACACGGATAGACAAAGACTTAAAGGAGGTAAATTTTTTCATGTTTAGTGTGGAGAATGTAAGAAAATAACCAGCAGCTGACTTGAGACAGATACGCTCTTAGGTTAATTACATTTGTGAGAAATTTCACAATATCTATTTTGCCAATGCTAGTATTTGTTTCATATCCAGGAGTACATAATTCAAACTACTAAAACCAAATAAAACACTAAAAGAAAAATATGTGCATCTAATTCTTCTGACAAGGCTTTGCAATGTCTGTCCTCCCAAGGACACTATGACTTATTGAGATGTGGAAACACTGCTTTGAAAATGTGATCACTGTGTCTAAAACAGTAATCTGTGGTTAGAGTATTGTCCTTGGTTGATCTAAAAGTACCGAACACATGGAAGTTATCAGGTAACCTGTCCCAATAATTAGCTACCCTTCTAATTGTTAAATTAGTTTTTGCAGTTTATTTTTCTGCTAAATTCCTTGTGAAAGAATGTATCTTTTTGCTGAATGATCAAGTCCTTTATATATAAAAATTTTCCCACAAAAATACTCATATACTATACATTTTTCCTGATTTTGTTAATTTAAATGGAACACCATCTTTCAGTATTCCCCTGAAAAATAGGTGTTTGTTTTCAATGAGTCTTGTAACAGTTCCAAATTCCAAACTTTTTAACCTCTTTTCTGGAGTGGAAGCTTGGTGGGTGTGTTTTGAGGTTTGGGTACCTGTTGTAGTTTAACCCAGCAGCTGGCAACTAAGTGCTAAACAGCCACTCGCTCACCCCTCCTCTTCTGCCACAGCAGGATGGCGAGGAGAGATGGATAAAAGGTGGAACTCATGGGTTGAGATAAAGACAGTTTAATAAGGCAACAAAAGAAATACTAATACTACTAATAATAGTGCTAACAGTTATAACAAAAAAAACTTGTATAGAATACAAATTTTCTCACCACCCGACGACTGATTCATAGCCTGAAAGAAAAGTTCGAACTCCCGGCCAAGAGCGGATTCAAAAACTCCCAGAAAAGCTGAAAAGCCAGTCACCTTCTCTCCCCCGGCTAACTCCCATCTGTAAGCTGAGTGTGATGCCTATGATATGGAATATTTCCGTTGCCCCGCTTGGGCTGGCTGCTGGCTCTGCTCCCTCCCGGCTCCTGCACACCTGCTTGCTAGCTGGACAGGGGAGACTGAATAAAGTCCTAGATTTCCTAGCAAGAACTGAAAACAGCAATGTTACCAACATTCTTCTCCTACTAAATCCAAAACACAGCAGCTACTGGAGGAAAATTAACTTTATCCCAGCCGAAACCAGGACAGTACCAAAATGTATATTGCTTTGCTAGTACTGTAAAGGGAAATAAATCTCAATTTCCTCATCTTGTTTACCATTTTCCTTGTTGGACAGTAAAGCGTAAGCCTGCACAGGTGCACTCTCAGTAAATGACCCTGAGCTGTGTGATCAGGCGTTTCAGATTTTCACCAGAAAGTTTAATCTCAGTAGTAGCAAGAGTCGGTGGGTAATTTCTGGTATTATCAATTCATGCCTGATCTTTGTCTCTACCGCAAGTTACAGCTGAAACTTATGGATTGTCTTCTAGAAGTAAGAAATAGAAAGGAAGTATTTGAAGTAGTAATTCAAGGTGAAAAATGGTTTATGACTTCAGTAGAGAACTTGGTTTGAGATTATACTGTTTGCACATCTTTTGCAGTTATTTGCTTGTGCTTGGTTCTGGAAGTTTGTGGTAAAAGTAGACGGGGGCAGAAATGTGGGCAAATTTGGTTTTGGGGCAGAGTGTAGTGAAGCTCTTTCACAAGTGCTTCTGCCTGCCCGCTTCTTGCCACCTCCTTTATGCTTGAATTGGGTAGGTCTTTGCAGGGCATCTGATCTAAGTTATACTTGCTTATTTAACTGTGGCTACGTTAGTTTTAAGATAGATTGGTTGCCCAGTCTGTATTTGTTGAGAAGGCGTGCGCTGATGGGAGGTGTGAATGAGGAGAGCACAGAGCTTTGCTTTCCAGCAAGCTTATCAGGAAACAGCAGGATGGCAGCGGTGGCTTTGTTCACGTGGAGAGGTGGGAAATACCGTCAAGGAGCACGCCTGCTTATGGCTTGTGTTCCAACTGTTCTGGATGTCCACGCAAGTTTTATGTGAGATAGCAGACCTATAGCTTTCTACACAGACTTGCATTTACAATTTATGATGGTTATTGGTGGTAACAGAGCCGTTTACAGTACTCTGTGAGACTCCAGAGTCTGAAAGTAGGTTAGGCCACTGTATTCGTTTGTCACCATTGCACCATCACAAGTCTTCCTTCTCTGGACTCTGGTGTCCTAAATGCTTTCAAGGTTACAGGTTTCCATAGTGTCTTTCTCCTTTTCTTCTTTGCTTGTCATTCACCTTCCTGCCCAAAGTGTTCAGGCATCACTAGTCTGGTGCAGCCGCTGAAACCTGAATCTCTTAAAGCGCTTCAGTAATCTGGCTCTCTTCCATGTCTGAAACTGGGTGTCTCAAAACTGCTAGCTGGATCGGAATTAGAAAAAAAAATTCTCAAGTTACCTCGTTTAAGCAGTAACACAACATATAAGTGTAGTTATGAAAGATACTAGATTTTTTTTCCCAGTTATCTGGGCAGGTGGAGGAGAATGGTTCAGTTTAAAAATGTTATTATATTTCTGTTAAGGAAATGCTGAGAACTGAGAGGGACATTTTATTTGGTCTTGCGCAGAAACTGTTTTCTGTTCTTTTTAAAAACTATGCATATAATAGTAAATACTAAATAGTAAAATTAAAGCATTTATAACATTTCTTCTTTATAATTGTTCGTTAAAATAATTTCTGAAAATTATTCTCTTATCTTTAAGTCTGTAGTGCTGCTGTTTGCTAGCTATCATGACATGAGTAAGGGATTGTAACTGAGAAAAATTGTCCCTGTAATAATTGACACTATTTTTGTGTTTTAATCTGAGAGAAATGCAAAATAATGAACTGTACAGGTAGAAGAAAATAAATATGACTTAAAACTATCTGATACTCAGGAACACTTTTCTATCATTAAAAATAAACAAACTGCTACCACTCTAATACTACTCAACTGCTCAGAATTTAGCAGTTATTTTGCATATACATGTATGAGTAATATGGTAATGTAAGTTCAAAGGTTGGATTCTTACAGAAGTATATTGAACACCAAGAAAATACTGACAGTGATATATCAGGCTACTGTTTGATACCTCAATTACTAACACTGTACTCTTTTAATATGATGTAAGATCTTTTAGATTGAAGTTATTTATATTTTAAGAATTTCCTACAGATATCAGTGGCATTGGTTAAAAGAGATTATCTTTTGTGATGTCTAAGATATTCCACATTTCCAGATTTATTTAAAAAAAAAATAGCTTAACTTTTGACTGTTCTGATTAGAATATCTTTATTTCTGTAGGTACCTCAACACACAGTTTATTAAGAAGAACAAATTGACTGAAGCTGATCTTCAGTATGGTTATGGAGGGGTGGATATGAATGAACCATTGATGGAAATAGGAGAGGTAGGTATCTCTGACAGTGGGAGTGGATATAAACTGTATTCAGAAGCGCTGCAAGTTCAGCTTTGTCCTTTTAAATTTTGACTTTTCTGTGTCACAGAATCTGAATAGTTCAGTATGGTAGAAGATATAAGCACTGAACCCTTTGTAAAATGAGATTACAGTTGTGATGTAGAAAAATGTAGTGGCCTTCGGGGAAAAAAAAAGCATATGTGGAAACTGTTGGAGAAAAAAACCACCGGAAACGTGGTATGCTCAAAGTCAAGGCAATTCAGGAAAGGAAATTCTTCTCTTGTTTACCTGTACTGTCTCCAAAGGTTGCTAATCAGTGGCATCTGTAAAGCCTTATCAGAGCTTAGAAGTGCATATTGCTGCAGTGTTTGTGATATCTTCAGAATGGCATAAATGTTATTCCGGGTTTTCTCAGACAGAGATTTAGCCGAATCAGTTCCTGTGACTGTTGGAGGTAGTCCTTCGCTCTTTGTGAATGACTGTTAGTTCAGCTGCTTTGGGGGCTGGAAGTAGGTCTGGGCTTGTTCTTGAGGCTGGCTGATGCTGGTGTATTGATGAATTCTCCCCGTTTCAGTGTGCTGCTCCATTCTGAGGTATCACCCAAAGGATGGTAGTGGCAACTTTGGCCATAGCTTTCTGCCCTAGGAGATGTTGATCCAAGAAGAACAGACAGCTGACCTCGTAATTCAACTTTGAGTAATCACTTTTCCTCATGTTTGTGGAATTATAAGCAGGGCGGAATGACAATGACACACAGTTTTCTTCAGGTTTCCCAGCAGTTGTTTGTAGAATGGTATATCCCTAGTTCATCATTTGGGCAGGTTACAGAGAGTGTCAAGATTCTTTAACTGTAGCTGGCAACCTTTGGTTTTTGATGAAGATGTTTGGATGATGATGTCTGGAATTCGACTAATGAGTTTTTCATTATCTCGCTCCCCAAGACTCCTTCCACTTCTCTTTACCAATTACTGTCTTCGTAATCTGTAGTAGTGGGAGGTAAATTTTGGATCTTGAGGCAGTAAAGTTAGTCTCTGTTCATTACTGGTGTAGGATTAGGTTTGTGGCAGTGACTCCTTTGCCCTGAAGAGGAATAGAGACCGGAGTCCTACACTCAAGTGGTTCAATGCATTAGATTGCAGCACTGTTTTTGACGAATTAATTGCCCCAGAAATAAAAGTAATTCACATTCCTTGACCTACAAGGCGCTTGTCAAGTTTGTTAAGTCTTTGTTTTGAAAGCATTTTCTTTTTCATTGTGGTTCCTGCTTAGGATTCTATATTTTATTCTTTGCGTTGCACTAGGGGATATGACAAAAGTTTTTATTTCAGTTTTTCATCACTTTAGAATGGAAGGAATTATCATTTATCCCTTTTTTAGAATGACTGAGATGATCTGTCCTTTATCTACCCATGAGCAAACATGCTGATTTTATATACAGTTCTGGTCAGTCTCAGCATGAAGTTACAGAAGGAATGCCTGGTATTTGTCAAAGCAGAACTTTACTCTCTGTGTACTGAAGTTTCTGTCTCGGTGTCACTCCTGTGTGCTAATGAAACTTTCGGAGCTTTACAGTAATCTTAAACAAGTAAATGCTTGCTTAGTTCTTCTGGGGTATGTAACAGTACGCGCACATAAGAGACTGGAGATGTGTAAGTGATGTTTGTGGGCTTAGCGTCAAACATTTTATCATCCCAACAAGTTTTCCAGATGTTCAGTAATTGTTATACTAGGAAATATACAGGGTGAGATCAGTTGATGAAAGTAGTCTACCAGTGCTTGCAAGAGATTATTTTTTTTTTTCTGTCCATATGTTATGAATGCAAAGTGAAGGATACTGCTTTTCTGAGTTGAGCTCCTGTCACCAATTTCAGACTTCTGAGTTTTCAATGACTGTATGGGAGCGCTGAGCTAGAAGGTAGTTAAGATCTGCCTTCTGTTTTTTTTCCCCCATCATGGGGCAACAGATTCTGGAAAATGGAGGAAACTGCCATGTTCTGTATAGCTGGAGAAGTAAGATCAGTCCCTCTCTTCACAGAGAAAAAGTCTCTTGAACTAATACATCAAGTTGCTGGATTGACCTCTCTAGCTTACTTGACAAAAAAATTCCAACAGGCAACGTGAAGCTGTTTCAGATTGGTAGATAATATATGAGAGGGACCATGCTAGAGACCGTGTTTCAGAGACCATATTGCAGAACAGAGTTACCTGAGGTCATCCTCTTCACCTCATAGTCACAAAATGTGTCAGTCCTCTTTGTTTTTTTTCTGCAGAACTAGCTTCTTTCAGCATTCTCTGCTGGATGAGTTCCTGATGTCTTAAGGAAACTGTTTTCATTTAACTGTTCTACTACTACTCTCCACAAGGCAAGACAGTGAAAATCACTCCTAAGACAACTTTGATTTTGAAATGCTGTCTGTGTTTTGATTTATAAGCAAAACTTCACCTCCTCTTTGAACTAGCTTATGATGCAGCTGGGTCAGCTTTACTTCACAGGCTTCTGTACCCTGTATTACAGCAGGGATGCTGGGTATCTGTGACAGAGCAAGTTCATTTCTCTGTTCTTTAAAAGGAAGATTTATTTCACACAGTTGGATCAGGTCAGATACCTAGTTAATAGCTAGACGTCTACTTTCAGTTAAGACATAGCTCATCAATATTTTAATTTTTATAGTTAAGGACCTGTTAGTTGTGTCAAAGTTTTCTTAGCAGCAGTATTCCCTCTGTCTTCACTGATTTCAGGCCTTTCATTTTTTCCCAGTGTACTAGTCACTGGTAGGTGTTTTTTAGAGGTCTCAAATGTGTGTGGGTTTTCCCCCATATGGGGGATCCCATTATCCTCTTTGGGCTTTAAATCTGATTTTGACTTGCATCTAAAAACTCCTGTGAACAATTGCAGGTGTGTTTTTTTAAGATGGTATGTTTGGGGAGCAATTAATTCATCCACGAGACTTTGAGATGTTTGAGTCCATGTGACTGATGCCTCTAATGATATATTAGGAATAGGGTAACCTGTCCCTAATATGGAGATGATTTGAATTCTATTTAAGTGGAATGTTAGATTTTTGGTGACTTTGCTTAAGGTGTATGCATCTTAGTTTGGAAACGCTCTCTGTGTGTTGGATGTAAGAGTTCTGTATGTTTGACTCTGACCTCTGATAAATTGGCCAAGAGACATGACCTTTTGTCAGCTGAGGCTTATTTTGCTGTCATTTTTAGAAATACTGATGTCTTCACACATGCAAAGACTTCAGGTAGAAAGGTGTGTTACTTACCTATTACTGTGCAAATGTTTTGTTTATATATACACTCAAAAGCTGCCCCTGTAACCAACTTGCTTAGAGTCCTTATATGCGTTAGAGAGTCCTTGACAGAGTGGAACCAAGGAATAAATCAGTCCTATTAGATGCGTACGAAGCATGCAGACTGGGAAGCGTGCATTCAGACATTGCGTGACTAGAAATTCTGTCTGACACTGCTAGTATACAGATATGTGTGATCTTCATGCAAATGCAGTCAGATATTCTAGAAGAAAAATGATGAAATAATGTATTGACAAATTGGGGGGGGGTGGGGGCAAAGAAAAGAATTTAAAAAGGAGAAAGGAGAGAGTATCTAACAATTCAGTTTTTAAATCCTGAATGGGGAATTGCATCATCTTTGGTATTGTTGTGGAGGGTTTTTTTGTTTTTTTTATTGATGTAAACTTGTGTTGTGTCCTGACAGCTAGCTCTTGATATGTGGAGAAAATTAATGATTGAGCCCCTGCAGGCCATCCTTATTCGGATGCTCCTCCGAGAAATAAAAAAGTGAGTGCTTGATTATTTTTTGCTTTTACACAGTGTGGGGGTATTGCACTTTTTTACTTCGAAAAGTCTGGGGACTTTGACCAGTCTTTTGTGGTTTTTTTGAAGGTAGCTTCTTACCTTATGATGATGTTCTGTCAGTTTTTTCTCATTGTAGCTACAGATGTCATTTGCATGTGTAAAAAAAGACTGAAAATAGTTAATTCACCATAACCTGAGGGTAGTGATCTTTTCCATTCCAGCAATCTTTCGTATCAATGCGATTGAGGAGTAGTTAGAATAATTCTCCAGATCCCCTAGGATTTGCCTTTTGCCTTTTTTTCCACCTGATCCTGACTGCTTATGGCTTCTGTATTGTCAGTAAACTTAAGGACCAGGACTTATGCAAAGATTTGCTGAAGCCAGAAAAACTATGTTGCTTTGCATGGGACCCAAACCAGTTCTTACTTATTTGCCAGGAAGACTGAGCTTCTGCGTTTCTGTTGTTCAGATGAGTGACTTCACTAAACATTCTTGGTACTTTACTTGAATGAAATGGGCGTAATTATTTTTTGCACTTTCACAGGATTTATTATTTTATTTTTGAATACCTTTGGTACTTTTGAACAAAGACCCTGGTAGTTACAGGGCTTGGGGCTTTGAAAGTTCTGATTTAAAACCTTTATACTATTTAACTCCTAAAGGATCTTTTTGTTTGTAAATAAACAGAAATTTTGAAATATGCTACAGGCCTTGTGTATAGTTGTAAGTTCCATCAGTTTCTACCTGCTGTTTGGGTAGCTCTGGAGTTGCCTAATGACTGGGGTTTTTTTAAGTGATTGCGTGCCTGATTCGGATGACCAGGCTAATGTATGTAATCTGAGAGAGTGAGGTAATTTGGCTCATGGAGGTGCCTCGGACATGCACTTGGTCAGAAAAAAGTGGTATTTGTAAGGCATTAAAAACATGATGTTAATATTATGGTTTTATTTTTCCTTCATGAATTAAATTTTTGATGACTAACTGACGTGATGTCCGTCTCAGATGGTGTTTCTGAAGCTTTATTTACTTTCAGTTGTTGAACCGTGCTTCCTTTGTAACCAGTGCTAATACTGCTTTATCCATGTGTTTACTGTAACGATTTATTTTTACTAAATGAAGATTCCCTAATTCATGGTGAAGAAAATTCGGCATTGTTACATCAAGCATGACACCGAGGACTCATTTTAGTCAATTGTGTATTTCGCTGGTGGGTAGGAGTGGAAATCTATGTTAAAACCTTTTTCAACAGACATCTAATGCCTCTTAAAAGTAATGGTATATATTTACCTTGGGGCTGACTGCAGACCTCACAAGGCTATTTAGATCAAGACTGTCACTGGCTTTCTGGGGCATTAGACCTTGAGACTGTAACAAACTGATGTTATTTATTATTAAACCATTTGGAAAGTTTTAAATAAAACTTGAGTCATTGTCTCTAATGGTTGGGTCTGGATTTTTTTTTTCCACCTTCATTATTAAGGATTCTTCTGCCTGATTTCAAAGAACTGAATTCAACTCTGTTTCTCAAAATGTACATCTAACAATTCATATCAAGTTTTTTCTAGCCTCTTTGTGTTCTATATATCATGTAATGAGCTATATAAGAGAGAACAACTTATTACAGCTGTTTTTCCTGGCATCATGAAATGTAGGGCTTGCTATGGGTATTCTGAGGATGGCCTTTGCGTGTAACTATTGGCTTGTTGCTGTTCTTTGCTATGATTCCAGTGGTCAATACAGTTTGTAAGAAGCAATTTTAAAGACTTTGCTGGAAACGGCTGTTAAATGTCTTTTAGCATTGAGTTCAGCAATTCAGGGATTAAATAAGGTCTTTGAAGAAATAGATATCAAGAAGTTACACCCGTCAGAGGTGCAAGAATATGCATGGGGAGATTATTACCTAAAAAATTTAATAAAATTGCTAATGTGTGTATATACTTAGAAACTTCTTAATTAGATGTCTTCTCAAGTGTAGTACTTAAGTGTATACATGGTTCAATTAATTAAAATGTTTTACAAAAACATTACAATTTAAATAGATGGGACAGTTGAACTTCTTATAACCAGAAGACTTTGCATAGTATGTAACGATATGCAGAGCTGGTAACCAACATAGTAGTCAACTAGTTGCATAGAAAAGTATGTTTACTACTGTACTGGAAAAGGTAGGGGAAGCAGAGCCATAAATTTTGCTTTCAGATTTTATTTTATCAGTGCATTTAACTGGAATTTTAAAAAGACTTCTGACTAAAATCTTGAGCACATTGACGTTTTAGAAGCTATAAACTTATGCAATACACTATACATTAAAAATAACAATAAACTTTTTTGGTACATGAAAATAAAGAAATACAAGTAGTGACCTGCGGTTCAGCTGAACAAGATGGCTGAAGTGATCTAAGAGTTTGCTGATGCCAGAAAAGAGCAGGCTGTGCTCTACTGCCTTTCTTGTGCTGAATTTGGTGCTCATCTAGTCCCTTAGAGAACCAACTCAACCGCTAATGTGACAGAAAACCATCTTGGCTAATATTTCTCCAGACTGGCATGATGAGTTAATTCAGCAAAGAATTAGATGAGTATAGAGGCCTGTGACTGAGCAAAAGGGAGCAGAATTAGCCCCCTGGAACAGCAGAGAACTGTTAAATCAGTTAAACCTGTCTTGTCTGACTGCAGTCCTCTTAATATAGAGTTCTGAATATAACACACTTTCTTCCCCCTCCCTCTAGCCCAAGCACTCCTCCTACAAGGCAAGCTGAATATCAACTTACGCATTTTTGTTTCAACACAACAGGAAGCCGACAAGATCTCAAATTGTGAGAAAACTCATCTATGAAATTCTTAAACAGAAATAATTTGGAAATTATTCAGGTGCTATCTCAAATGGCAGTGTGATTAGTACAGACTAACCAGGAAAGGCTTCTGTACTAAAAATAACTATTACTTTCTAACTAACCAAACCTATTCCTGTCTAAGCTGATACATTATTTATACAATTTCTTTGAAAGGAAAGCTATTAGAAGTTATTAACATCTATAAAAGTGTTGGAAGCAGGCTTTTCTAGTTCACAGTGAGTTCTGTACTTAATTGGTCTTGATAGGCTGTTGGTCTGGCACAGCAGAATGATTCTTTTGAATGGTGGAATCTTCTTTTAATGGACGCAGTATTTATTGTGCCTTAAACTTTAAGTATGTTCTATGGAGCTATAGTAGTACACTGTACAATACATGCTAAACTTCCACTGTTAGCTTTGGTCTTAAGATAAGAGCAAGATGGAGTTAATATAAAACAGCAGAGCGTTCTTGAGCTTGTGTTTTGTAGTTTTCTCCATTTCTTCTTTCAAAAGAAGCTTATCATCATCCAGTTTAGTGGAACTTGTGTTTCTAGCCCTTTATCTTTTTATCCAGATTCCCCAACAAACATCATCATTCCCTTCTGCCCTCCCAAGATGTCCTGAGACATCCCTGCTTCAAACTGTGCGGCAGCTGCTCTGTGGCTGTATGCATCCGTACTGCTTGCTGACCACTGCCAAGAAGGAAAATACACAGTGGACCTTGGTGGGGTCGCCAATTGCACTCATTTTAGTTTGACAGATACTCTTATTACTGCAACTTTCATGAAAATCATTCTGGAAACTTCTGTAACTCCTGAAAGTTGTGTGAGATTTTGTCGAAACTAACCATGTGCACTACAAATTCTTGGGAGCAGGATGCCATTGGTATAAATTAAAACCAGAAGATGCTGCCACAGTGGAAAGAATGGTCATTTTGTGACATACGCTGTTTATCTTGGAAATAGTGTAGCTTTTCAGTAGGTTCATGATGGAGTTCATAACACAGTTCTGTCAATAAATTTCATGACAACTTTGCTGTAAATGTATAATACTCGCCCACTGAGGAAACCTGCGCGAGGAGGGGGGGGTGAAGGGGGAGGGTGGACATCTGGTAAAAAAAAAAAAAAAAAAAAAAAAACAAGCAAAGCCCCACCCTGAACCCTGGCAGGAGTTCCAAACTTGTCGTTTGATTGGCAACCACATCCTCACTACCTCCTTATTCAGAAGTGGGTTTAAAGTCTTTATTGTGTACTACCAGCTACCCCAAAGGCAGGCAAGGTTGGTTCCGTGTTGTGTTCCTTTTGATCTGCCACCTTTATGCCATCTGGCCTCTGCTTCAAAAGCCAGTCTCCTCCCTTGCAGCTCTTCCATGGAGCATCTGCCTCCTGTACTTGTACGGCTTTTTCCCAGTGACACATCAGCCTTCAGGTCCCCTGGCCCAGCCCGTCAGTGCCCTCTCTCCTCCCGCACCTGCGTGGGCTGAGGTCTGTGGAGTGGCCTGAGTGGAGGGTACCTGGGTCTTCATCTGTGCTTACGATAATGCTGGTTGGGTTTGGGTCACCGGTATCCTTCAGGCCCAGAACCCCCTGTGCTAGACTGGTCTGTCTCTTGACAGAGCCCTGCTTTGTAAAGTGCTAAACTTTTAGTTAGGTAGCGTCCTGTGCTCTCTGGTGCGGTGTGGTGTCACAGGCTGCGTGCTGGGGCTGACCACTGTCCTGGGCCCCCTGGGCGGAGCGGCCGCCGGGCCCTGCTCTGCTGTTACACCTTTTCCCTTCATTAATTTGCTGCTGCCTCTCGCCGGGGGTGACCAGAGCCCACG